ACAATGCATACGATCACAGTTTCCAGAGAGGAAATGGCTGAACATCATCTCATGGCAAGTGTTCCTGCAGGGGGGGCCGGCAGAGGAGACCCCTAGGCCTTTCAGTTACAAAATGTACAACAGAGGACATCTCTGCTTTCTTATTCTTGGAGAAAGCTTTGCAGCTTTAGCTGACACAGTCGCTTCTTTTCCTTTAGATGTGACCACTTAAAAATTACCTGGTAGCAAACAGACTGACAGGCAAACTTCAAAGGACAGAGTGTTGAAAGGATCAATATCCTTACAATTGCTCTAAAGAACCAGACAGCTTCATTTAAGAGATAATCGGAATTTCCTTTAGGAGAAAGAAGAAGGTAAACTTGAGAAGAATAAAAAGCAAAGCCATATTTAACAGCTCTGCTTGACACAGTCTTTGCAACTGTAAATGCACCATAAACTCAAAGATCAATAACTTCTATATTTAAGACACTTGATGCAATGCAGAGAATATTCTCCGCCCTTAAATGAGAAAACATGGGATGGTATGGGAAAACACAGGATGACATTATTTTAAGACGACCTCTAAAAATCAGGTTGACCACCAAACTGAGAGCACTGTGCAAAAATAAAGCGTATCACTGGATATATCCCTTAAGAATATTTTTATGTGTACATCTACTTGGAAGCATAACAAGGCATTGTAATATGGAGTTTATAATGTCCAGCTTTATTCAAAATATTCACAAAATGAGAACAGTCAAAAAGACTTGTGACCTGAGACTATGTCCCCAGAGCCACAAGGATAGGAAAAATAAAACAATACAAAACAAAAGAGGCCTAAAATTAAAGACTTCAGTGTGTTTTGGTGTAAAAATCTTAGTCTTTGGAGCCAGGCAAACCCGGAACTGAACACAGGTCAATTAGAGTGGGCAGACTACTTGATCTGAATTTCTGTACCTGCGAGACGGCGACCAGTCTACAGTGGGCGTCAACAAATTATAGCCAGTACTCAAGGCCTGCTAGGTGCCTATTTTTGTAAATAAAGTTTTACTGGAACGCAGACATACTCATTGTCTATGGCTGCTTTCTGTTACAGTGGCAAAACTGAGAAGCTGCAACAGAAACTGCATGGCCTGTAAAACCTGAAATATTTACTATCTGTCCTTTACAGGAAAAGTGTGCCAATCCTTGGTCTATAGAGTTGTCATATGGACTAGAAATTATTTAACACAGTGCTCAGCACATGGTCAGTGTTTGTATGAAATCATTATTCAAGTCAGCGAAGGTTAAGGTCATGTAAGCTAGGAAGAAAATGTTTTAGTCACCAAATCCTGTTGACAGATGAATTCTTAACCATCTTAGAAGAAACTCTTCCCCAAGGTGCTTCACTTAGGGGACAGCAAAGACCCTACCTGCTCTTTACGGAAAAATGACCCAGGATAAATGCCCATTAAAAGGACACCGAGAGACCATTTCTCAGCTATCAGACTGGCAAAGCTTCAGGTGACAGCATATTCTGTTGGCGTGGCTCTGGGGAAATGGTTACTCTCATGCATTGTTAGTGGGAGTGCAAGTTGCTGAAATTCTAGGGAGAGAAACTTAGCAATATTTAGCAAAGTTCCGTATGAATTGTACTTGTGAATCTTTGCCTGTACTTGGGTGTCTATCCCCAAGACAGCCAGCAAAACTACACAGGGGCACAAGGTTATTCACTACAGTATTTTTCTGTAAGAGCAAAAAACTGGAAGGAGCCTCAGTGTCCACCAGTAGGGTACTGGGGGAGAAAGTGTTAGAGCGAGCAGCCTGCGATCCATCCCCAGTTACCAAGGAGACACTGGGGTGGGGCAAGAAGGTAGGTGACCTGGTTTACGCTCCTTGGAAACACGTGGACTAGATGACAGGGCAAATAGATTAATGAGCGTTTTTGCTCTGGAGAGAGTCCTGATCAATGGAGTGCTTCAAGCAGGAAATCCCTGGTTTAAGATGTTATGGTAAACAAATCTTCAACCCACAGATTTATGAGGCACGACTGCCTGGACAGTGTCACAGGAGCTATTCAACTTTCTTAGGCATTAACTGGAGATGCTGCAAAATTAAATGCTCCTTGCGATGTGAGGAAGCTGCCAACCTCATTAGAAACCTCATTGATCACTGGACCAGAGAGCATGGATCTGGGGTGAAAAAGAAGGACCTGGGGAGCCACATGGGATAGCCTGGATTTCTCCCTGTGTTACCAGTGTCCCTCAGTCTCTTGGATCCTTGAAATTATTAGAGAGTTCCATACTGGACAAGACCTTGGATCTGACTCATCTCATTCTTTGTGTTAGCTTAGCCACACAAAGGATGCCATCTGCAGGTGAGAGAAGTGACAAACATTTGTATACACTGATGGAAATCATCTCCAGGATACACTCTCAGTGAAAAATCTAAGTGCAGAATACTGTATATAATATGCAACTCTTCATGCAACAACAGGGCAAGGCCGTAGATATACATAAGTAGTAGATTGCATACGCAGAAATATACATCAGAAGGTTAAACCAAAAGCTGATAAACATGGTAACTGTGGAAGAAAGAAGGAATCGAGCAAGGGAAAGGGACGAAGGTGACATTTCTCTGAAAAAACTTCGTCATGTAATTTGTGCTTAGAGACATATAAATGTTATATATTCAAAAATGAAATGAAATCAAAAGGAAAAAAAATCTGTTGAAATGAAAAGGATTCTGAAACAAATGAGCCAAATTGTATGTAAAATTTAGGATATGGCCACATAAAGAAAAAAAATTTCAAGCAACTTTAGTTTTCAGTCTTTTGATTGTACGTCCTTAATGGAATATAAAATTTTTAATTTCATGAAAATTTTTAAAACTTCTTTCAGTAGTCTTATTATTAGTGGTAACATTGGTATTATTGTTATTTTTAAAATATTATAAATATATTAAAGTGAAACAAGTTCTGTTAAGAACCAAAATTTTCAGTAAAAAAGAAAAGAGATACAAATGTAATATCAGAGAAGTTAAAAATTCTATAAGGTTATATTTGAATTGGAAATATTTATGAGTTCAGGATTTATTTTTCTTAAAAAAAGTATTTCCTAGCTCCATCTATTGAAAAGTTTCAGCCCAGAAACCACTCCGCTCCAGAATTGATGAGCATCTCTAGTATTTACAGATTTATAGATTGTGGTTCCCAAACACCATTCTCCACAAAGGAGGACGGGCGCCCTGGAGGACTGGCTGACTCCAGGCCCGAATCCTGGATGGGTGGGGTACATCGAGTTGTGCTAGAAACATGGAAACTATAAAAGACCAGTGCCTGTGTCAAACAGACAAGAAGTCAACATGACGTGCTCCCCACGACCCAAAGGGAGCAATCCGAGTTCACACAGAATAGAAGGACAGAATAACAAGTTAAATGATACCACAGACAAATCCAGAATGTAAGACTTTCTACAAGACAAGTGACCTGGCTTCTTCAGACATCAATACGTGAAGAAAGAGAAATGAAGCTGGGAGGGAATTGAGGGGAACCATCTAAATAAAGAGGCCTAAACAGATCAAGATGGAATGTATGGGCTTTAGTAGCATACTGATTCAAACCAGTATCTGCAAAGACATTTCTGAGATGATCAGGAAATTTAACACCAATTGGGTATTAAAGGATGCTAAGGACTTTTTGTGTTTGGTATGATAGTGGCATTATGATTCTGGAAGAAAACACCCATATTTTTCAGAGATGTATAGTGACCTATGTAGGGACAAAATGACATAATATATGAGATTTTCTTTGAAATATTTCAGCCAAAAAAAAAAAATAGCTAAAGCAAGTATGGCAAAATCTTACTGAAGCTGGGAAATGTTCAATTTGCTGGTCTCTCTCCGTTTGTGTATTTTGACATTTTTCATAATATGGAAGAAGAATCAAGCGAAAGACGCTCTTTCTCTTTCACGTGAAGTGAAGCTGCACCTGATTTTGCACGCCTTGTTTTAAGTTGGCCTGTGGGATCTGCCTGTCCAAGCCAGCCTCTGCCAGTAACTTTAAGAACTAAGTATGAGAACTTACTGTGGGACCTAACAGAGATGGTACTGACCGGAAATGTATGCAGAGAAATAAATGAATCTTTGAAGCAATTAAAAAATGGTACAGGAAATGCTATCACAGTCCACCTGGTGATGAGCTATTCTCACTTGCTATTGGAGAAATAATGCATCTTAAAGTATTTTATTATTTCTTTTACATGCTCTAAGCAGTCTGCCAGCTTGATCAATGCACATAAAAACGTATTTCCAATATGATGAAAAGAACTAGTCAAAGTCTACTTTTGGACTAAGAAAAAAAAATTAAAATTACCTTTCTCCCTTTCAATAGCTGTATCTACATTGCAAGTTCAATATAAGATGCTAAATGCCACTGGGAGAGATCGATCTGATACGCTGCGATTCGGTTCCAAGAGCAGACAGCTTGGGAACTTTACTGACCCTTCCGCCACATTTTCTCACGTTATGATGAGTCCATTTTCTTTTCTTTTGGGGAGATGCTGGTATAGAAATGCTTTTAGCTAAGCGCAACACGATCTCAGCCTTTCACTTAGAGCTAATAAGACCTAATAATTTTAATAATTGAGAAGATATCAATATAAATATAAATGTCTCTGTACTAAAACTATAGAACTGAACACAACATATGAGCTGAGTAAGCTAGGAGAGAGTAAACTCTAGTTCCTGTAAATCTCTCCTTACACAACTTACCTTTTATACTGTTACACAGTTTAAGAAGCACTTTCAAATAAATCGCTCCATTTAATCTTCTGTCCACTCTGTGTGCAGGCAAGCATTTCATAAAGAAAGTAAAGCTCTACTTTACCAAGAAATTGAGTCTCAGGGGGCAAAATGATGGCCTATTCAAGGGCACACATTCCTGAAGTAGTGGCAGCAAGATCACTGATTTATCATCAATAAATTCCTTAGAATAAAACAGGACATTAGTAGATAAAAGTGGAAACACACTAACCCCTGCTTACCTTTCAAAGCCAATCTGCCGAAGCGTCTTTTCCCACGTCGAGCCTGTAATGAAGGAAGAAACATGGTCAGCACACATCAACTGTCCAGGTAGCTTTGTCCTGATTTTGCACCTCCTGCTTGGTATTTGGTTTTACATTTAAGTGGAAGACTTTGTTCTTCCTCAAATGGATTACTCCTCACCTCCAGCCCCCAAACAGCCTTTTAGAGAACATTCCACATAAGGATTTAAGCGCATAGCTCCTGCAAGGCCACAAAGCTGTGCTCCACGTTCCTCTGGGAAAGCAGTAGGCCACTAAGTCACTCTCGAAAAGCCAAGTGTGTCTGTTTCAGAATAAGGGGAGCAACACTTTGCTGTCAAAAATAATGAAAAGGCATACTGTACGCTGTACTCTCTAAAATTCTACTTTTAGTTTTGTGCAGCACATGGAAAGCTAAACGACACACTGAAGTTACAACTCACTGAGACACCATGTCTTTATCTCACCAAGGTGGAAGCACAGGGTGGACATTTCCCCCTTTTTTAAAGCTAAACATTTTAATCAGAAGTCTCTTGAAGGCAGAAATTCTGTTTCAAGTGACAGGATTTGAAGAGTAGTCGACCCAATCCACAAAAGTACAGCTGGGTATAAAAAGGATTTTCTATCATTTTTCCATGCAATAATTCTTCCCTACATTATAGACATCATAACATTCTGAGTACTCAATATAAAGAAAAGTGCTAATTTTTATCAAAGACCATTCTAATAAAAATTCCACATTTACAAGTTTGTGTTTAACCCATAGTTTTACGTTTTCCTGATGCTCAGTCAGTGGCAAAAATATTTTGATGTCAGTTAACTATTTCAAGACACACCCACCTAGTCCTAAATTGTGCTGTGCACGAGTCGCTTGATAATCACAGCAGATAATTACTGCCTTTTTGTGCAATTTAGTTCTGCAAACAGGAAGCAGTGGATTCAGCAATGGTCTCCAGAGGCAGCTAAAAACCTACCCAGCTTCTTTTCCTAAAGTCACGATAAACCAGGATGGCGCTAACGGTGCCTTCTTGAGAACTCTGCCTCACATGCTTAATCTTTAGGTGGCCACTCAGTGTCTCCTCAACACTAGGCAGACTTTCTGGAAAGGCAGGAGATTATACAAGACTAGCTTCCTGGGCCCCCTCAGAGGCCTGAACCAGTCTCAAGAGAGCACAAGCATGGTGTTTGACCACAGGGTTTGGGTTCATACTATTTGGCTACGATCTAGCATTTTAAATAATTTTTATAAATAATCAAGGACTAAATGTCAGATATGAATCACATATATATGCACATACAAATTTAAAGCAGATTCAGGCTTATCTCATTGATGAAGTCACTTCTGATCCAAGTGAATTCCAAAATGCTTTGCTGAGTAGGAGTGAAAGACACGGAATTTCAGTCACAGCCCAGGAATTTCTCATGGCCCCTGGCCCAGGGGAGGGGGCCCCATATGAATTCCATCTGTGCTGCGAGTCACATGTGAAACAATTGAGAATCTCCATCTCAGGAATTCTTTGAAGACAATTATCCTGCCTCTGAGATCCTAGTAATTAAGACACTGGCAAAGAATACACAACCTGAGTCAGAAACCACGCTGTGTTCAAGGACAGCTGCCAACTGCTGGCCCAAGGTGAGAAGTGGAGAGACTGAGTGCCCCGCCAAGCGAGAACCAGACAGTCTGGGGCAGGCCAAGTGGGCAGGGTCTGGGGAAGGTGGGGGTGGGTGCTGAGGGGGTGTAGATGCCACTGTTCTTGCCATCCCTTGCTTCCAGTGATAAAGCATCTTTAAAATTTGTCTACCTTTTTTCCCCTAGATCTTCTCAGTATATTCCTAAATTGATTTTTTATATAAATTTTTAAGATTAACCCCCTTTTTTAATAGATTCAATTTATTATCAAGGTAAAATTAAAATAAACGACTTTGCTAAACTGCACCGAAAAGCTTTTAGAAGATGGAGCTTTTATTAGGAAATAAGAAATAGGTTCCATCTTCTTATTTCTGAGAAAAGTAAGCTTATTCAAACAGGCAGGAAAAGTTAAAATTTTTTGGTGCAGAACTTCCAGTACTCCTTAAGATAAATATTACTAAGCCAACCAACCAAGCACAATAGAGCTGGTGGAACAACGACTTTCTTCTAGCCACGAGAAATCAACTTAATAAACTGAATGTCTTCCATACCATAGGCATCCGTCAGTATTTGCTGTTGATCCCCTACTAACCATCTGAAATGTTAGGTGGAGGACTGACTAGATTAAAATATGGTTTCTGCCCTCAAACACCACATACCCTAGAGGTTTGGGTTTTTATGTCTTTTGTGAGCACTTAGTCATGATGAAACGAGAAACACACAATAAATGGAACAGACATATTCAGGTCCTTTGGCACCAAGGATATTTTCAGCAGCCCATTATTCAGTTGCTGGGGAATTGTTTTAAAGCCATTAACCATGCTTTACACGGTAAGGTAATACTATTCTCCTCTGCCAGGGCTGTCCAACAAGTGGAGAAAAGCAGAGAAAACAAAAGTGGCTGGCAGACTTCTTTGATTCAACACTTTTTAAATGAGATTTATAATATGGACAAGTCTAAAACATGTTACACTCTTCAGAAAAAAGCAAACAGCAACAACAAAAAGAAAAATACGCAGCATAGAGAAACAGACATAATTCATAAGACAGATTTTTCCTTTCCAACGTTAGATGAAGTAGTTAGAAATAATGAATTGTGATTCTTCACTTTAAAAAATTGCCCTATAGCACAGGCATCCTAAGAACAGAACTGAAATCTAGAGTGAAGGATCCCAAAGACCAGGGGCTGGAAACAAACCCTCTGAATGTCATTTGGTCTGCAGAGTTAAGTTTCAGGATATAAGCCCCTATGACAAACTACCTTTTACTATCCTTCAGCGCTGACACTCCCATGACTCCAGGGGGAACCACCACGTGGAAGTGTAGGACATGTCCTCCTGGGATAAATCAATCAACAATTGCCCCTTTACAAAATACACAAAGCTCTGTCTGTCCATTCTCATCACCCTCCCTCTTACACCCCATCTACCTATCAGCCTCTGCCGGTTCCACATTCCCTCCTCTTTCCATGACAGAAAGAAGTCACGGGCTCTTCCTTTCTTTGGGAGCTGCTTTCCCCAGGCCAATGAGTTGTTCTGCTGGGGCTCCAGTCTCACTGCCTCTCCCTCCCTGGCTGGGGAGGCGGGGAGATGTGGCCAGTCCCCGCAGCACCCTGTCTCCCTCGCCACAGGTGATAAGGACGGGCACGTGACCAGCTAGGTCAGGCCAACATGGAACCCTTCCTGGGCTGGCTATACTGCTCGCCTGTCAGAGAACCAGGAATCATGCCAGCCCGGCCTTGATGATGTTCACTCTGTGGCCATGGTCCCGCCACACAGAGAAAGGCTGTGTGAGAGGAAAGAGGGATCCAGGAGCAGAGGTAAGCCGGGAGAAAGAGAGAGGGCTCCTGAAGGCATCCCTGTCTCTGTGCGCAGTTGTTCCTGATGCCCTAGCCTCCCCCACCACTCCAGTTACAAGAGGGCAAACATAATCTGTGTTGTTTACTCTAGTCTTACCTCTAGCTTTAACTTTGACATTTGCATCTCAAAGAGCACCGAATAGGAACAATGAAAATAAGATTTTAACCATGCTTTGAGGATCCAAATTTTAGGTGGGAATGAAAGCATGTTAAATAAATTCTAGCCATTTTTTGCCATATTTTAAATCAAGAGAGTGGACGTTCTCCCCCAACTTAACATAGCAATAAAAACAGCTTACACTTAGACCCTTACCAGGTCCTAACTTTCTATGTATTAGCTAATTTAATCCTCGCAAATACTCCATCAAATCAGTACTATTATCATATCCCCATTTCAGGTGAGAAAAGTGAGGGCTGGAGAGATTCAGGACTCCAGAGCCAAGGGTCTCAACTTCCTCCCTCACCGCGCTGTCACACAGGGGGCTATGTTCCCGTCCTCCTTTCATTCTTCTCCTTCTTATCAATTGCCTCTCGCCCCTATCTGACTATTATATGGAATTCAAAATTCTTTTAAATTCCCCAAAGTTTTGTGTGTCTGATGATTACTTTTAGAAGCATGGGCATGCCTACAGCAGAGGTTATCTGTCACGACAGCGCTTCTCACACCACCTTTCATCCAGGACCTACAAATTTTCCTGCATTAATTGTGTTCAACACTCAGTACTCTTGGCAGGGGTTCAGTGTGTACAAATACATGCAGACAGAAGGCCATTGCCAACATGTAACCTGTAGATGACAAAACAGGGTTGATTATTTCTTATGTCTTCTCATCTTTCTGTGGCAGTGGTTTAAAACAACAGCTTTGCCTGTTGCTTGAAAGCAGACATCTGAGTTCTAATGGCTCTGCCTCTAGTCATCATATTTCCTTAGACAAGGTGCTCATGGGGCTCTCTTTCCTTGGCATCATGTTAAAAAGTGTTTGTCAGGTCCCTTTTAGTTTGTCATTCTATGTTTTCAGAAATGTTACTGAAAATGCAAAAATCTCCATCTTTATGTTGTAAATTGGTTACTCGCTCTATTATCATGTTTCCTCACTGATTACTTTTATCAATTGTGGGGGACTTGAATTGGCCACCCCAAGATATGTCTCTTTGCCATGAGGGAGGATTATTTTGGGCTGGTTACTTTTAAAAATTGCAGACAGGAAAGAAAATCTGAAAAGTAGAATTTACTTACCCTTTGTTAAGAGAGATTTACATTGTAAAGGAAATCTCCATCTGTACATGCGTCTCCCTCTCTGTACCAGGAAGAAGGGGGGATGACCTTATCTCTAGAAACTCTCATCAATGTGGAAGGCAAGGACTCAAGTTTGCATAATAACCTGACTCTTGTTTACGGTGCTTTCCTGGTAACCTCCCGTAACTGACTCCCCCCACCCCCAACATCCTCCTTTGTCTTTAGCTGAAGATGATATTTAAGGTGGTGGCTTCAGCCATTTTGGTGAGTTGCTCAGGTTGCCTGAGCCTCTCCCATGTAT